TCATTTTCCTGTGCTACTTGTAGAGTATAATTTTTTGATCATTCACTTTTCAGTCCAAACGTGCATTAGGAATTAATGCAAGCATCTGACTGTGTCGTTGTCTTCTAATGTGCCTGAGCATTTACATATTGGAACAGTCATGCTTGAACAGTTACATAAGGAAATACATATTATTAGAATTTACTTTTCTTCTATATCTCCTTAATATTTTATTTAAGGCTTTGCTTTTTTTGAAATTATATGTATGGGTGATTAGCAGTGAACTTCAATTCAGGATGGCACAGGTGGCGTTACTAGATACGTGTTATAAAAAGTGGACATTTGTTCTGATAGAGTGGAGAACCACTGTCTTAAGCAATCCTTTAAAAACACATGGAAGTCGTCTACAGTAGGATGACTGCTCCCCACTTTTCCTGATTTACTCCTGTTGTCCTGGCATAATTATTAATTGTGTCCCTTCCAGTGTTGAGAGTCCTTGTTTGGATGATAAATTATATTGCTACACGTTTTTAGAGGCATTTCTCCTCCTCACAATCTCGATCACATTATTCACTTTTTGAGCAGTACGGTCTGTCTTGGTCAGTCCATGTCCTTTGACAAATAAGGTTGGGTCTACTTTTATCCCCTCCACTGTTGAACTTTCCACTCCTAACACCTGCCAGCATTCTCTTTTACTCGTCCTTGAAAAATCTACAATAATTGGCTCGGATACCCTCAGTGTCTTGGCCTTTCCTCTTGCTCATCAACCTGATCCTGTCCTCACCAATGCTCTTAACTCACTCTTCTATTTTTGGCATTTCTACCTTAATCCTCTTTCCACTTATTTTTCTACATAGCCTTACTGTTCTGCCAAATTTTTGTACTTTTGCAAAATTAATTTTGCCTTATCTGACAGTTTGCAACTTCAAGTTTTTTCCTATAAATAGACTCTGTTAGATATTTTAGCCCAAATTCTCTTTTTGTTTTGATTTAAACTCTGGTGTTAACTCACATTTAAATAAGCATTGCTCAATACCATTTACTTTTAGCTGACTGTTTGAATCATATCATTAACCACTCTTACCCTGACATAGAAGTCTCTCAACAGCATTCTTTTTGCTATTCTTTGGGGAAATGTCATATTTTTGTTTTTATTTTATTTTTAAAGGAATAAAGCTTTTAGAATAAGATGTTTAGCTCCCAAGAGTTTCAAAAATGCTCAGTCTAAATTTTTTATTGTGGTTAAATACACATAACATAAAATTTGCCAGTTTAACCACTTTAAAGTATACAGTTCAGTATCATTAAATGCATTCACAATGTTGTGCAACCATCACTACTATCTAGTTCTGAAACCTTTTCATTATCCCAAATGGAAACCCCATACCCACTGAGCATTTGCTCCCCACCCCCTCCTCCTCCAGCCCCTGGCAACCACTCACCACCTTCTTTCCCTGTAGCTTTGCCTCTCCTGGACATTTCCTATGAATGGATTCAGGCAATATGTGGCCTGTTGGGTCTGGCTTCCTTCACTTGGCACACTTCTTCAAAGTTCATCCATGTCATAGCATGTATCAGTACTTCATTCCTATTTATGGCTGCATAATATTTCATTGTATGGCTAGATCACAGTTTTGTTTAACCATTCATCCATTGATCAGTCCAGTCTTTCTGAAATCTTTAAGATGAGATGAGTGATACAGTAGCATGGATGCGTGCAAGAGATAGTACATAGAAATTTCAGGTGGAAGTGTCAGTGGTTGGATACGTGGACAATGCTGTTGTATGGAGTATACATAGAGGAACTATCCACCCTGTTTGGATGCCAGATTTTACTTTGTTTCTCCTCCCTCTCCCTTTTTTCATAACTGGATCATGTTTTGTTGTTTTCTTTACCATTGTACAGGTTTTAGAAAATACAGCTGAATAAAATTGTTCAGAGTCCCATCCCCAAAAAACAATCACTACTAATAACATTTTGGTATCTTCTGATAACGTTCCTGTTTATTTTACGTTTACCTAATTGTGATCACATTGAATAGATAATTTTGTATGCTGCTGTTTTTTTTTTTTCATAAAATGTATTTATTTAACAAATATTCAAATACCTGAAATATATTGGGGATTGTTCTGGATAACTCTGATGAGTGGGTAAAAAGCTCTGGTGGAGTATGGTTTAGGAGATGTCAGCGTATAGATTATATTTAAATCTGAAGGACTGTCTGAGACCTTCTGGGGGAAGTAGATAGAGCTGAGAAGGGGCCCAGGACTGAGCCCTAGGGCACCCAGCATGCAGAGGTCAAGCAGAGAAGGTCGAGAGAGGATGGGCAACCAGCTAAAGGTAGAGAGACTAAAAGAGAAAGAGCTTTGAAGGGGAGTGGGCCTTTCATCAAATGCTACCGAGCATCTGAGTGAGATGGGGACAGAGGGTCCACCACTGAGTCTGGCCAGGTGGTGGTCAGCATGGGGCTCAGTGAAGTGGGGAGGACCACAGCCCATTTGGAGTGTGCTAAGGAGCAAATGGGAGAATATTTTAACATATATCTGCATGTTTCATATATTCTTTTTTATTTTTTTTTTGAGACAGAGTCTCACTTTGTTGTCCAGGCTGGAGTGAGTGCCGTGGCATCAGCCTAGCTCACAGCAACCTTAATCTCCTGGGCTCAAGCCATCCTACTGCCTCAGCCTCCCAAGTAGCTGAGACTACAGGCATGCGCCGCCATGCCCAGCTAATTTTTTCTATATATATTAGTTGGCCAATTAATTTGTTTCTATTTATAGTAGAGACGGGGTCTCGCTCTTGCTCAGCCTGGTTTCGAACTCCTGACCTCGAGCAATCCACCTGTCTCGGCCTCCCAGAGAGCTAGGATTACAGGCGTGAGCCACCGAGCCAGGCCTCATATATTCTTAAACATAATGTCTTAGCAGAATGAGATGTCTAATTTGCATTTAACTTAACCACTTATTGTCTCCCTACTCTGTGACATTTACATTGTTTCCAGTTTTTATTGTTATTTAATACAAAGAAGGCCAAAGTAAACAGCCTTGTAAATTTTCCTTTCTAGTTCTAATGAAGTCCACAGAAAGGGAGGTACTTACTAGTGCAAGAGCAGAGCATCTCTAAAGCTTGTGATCTAGCCTTGCTCAAATGCTTTCCAGAAGGACTGAACAGTCTGCACTTCCTCCAGCAGCGTCTGCGGGGCCCAGCATCTTGACTGGACGTGTCAGCTGGGTCCTTCCAGAACAATCCTCTCCTTTCACAAGTTTAGAAGTTCTTTCACCCTCGAATCAGGAATGGGATGACGAGAACCAAATCACGTTATGGAATGAAAACTAGACATGGCTCACTAAGTAATGTGAAATAGAAATGCCCATATAGAAATCACCAATCATATGGAGCCACGACTTACATGTGATTCAGGTGTTTGTTATTAATCCCTTTTGCTAAGGTCCTGGTGGAACCAGGTATGACTAAGGGAAATACTCAGCCATGATCCTACTCCTCCATGCCTCTGTTCCTTTGCAGGTGTATAAATGTGATCAGTGCTGGAAGTTAAGGAAGTTTACCCTTTTCCAGTAAACACTCTGCCAATTCCCCATAGCAGCTGTCTGCTGGTATCAGTGAATGACTTCTGCCCTCCCCATGCATGCCTTGGGTATGATTTTATAAACATTCCCAGCTTGTAGCAAAAAGAGAACAACTTCCAGGGTGATCATCATCTCAAAAAATGTCCTCTCCTTCCCATCTCCATTCCTCAAAATAAGACCCCCACTGCTTCATAGTTACTTCCTGGCCATGTTGTGAATAGTTCCTCCCCAACTACGCAGCTGGATAAAGGGAGCTGACCCCAGCTGCCTTGCTGAGTTTGCTACTTAACTGCTTCCTGCCCAGCACAGCAGCCCAGCCGCTCACCCAGGATCAGCAGCACTCAGTAGGATAGCACCTAGGGTGCTGACCCCAGCTGCCTTGCTGAGTTTGCTACTTAACTGCTTCCTGCCCAGCACAGCAGCCCAGCCGCTCACCCAGGATCAGCAGCACCCAGTAGGATAGCACCTAGGGTGGCATCACCTCACCCAGGACTGGCAGTGCCCAGCGTGGCAGTGGCTTGCCCAGGACTGGCGTTGCTCAGTGTGGCAGCACTGCGGATTCCGGGGGAGGTGCTGGCTCTGCCTTAGCTCATCTCCAGGGAGCTGTCCTGCTCCACTGGGCTTGTTGCTGTTTGCTGGGCTTTGACTGGAAGAATGGAGTGTTGATTGTGTCAGTGGAGAACAGAGGTGGTAAGAGATGTGTGTGGGCATCTCCCTCCTTCCCATTAACTGGGTCCCATTTTCTGGAGAGATGCTGGGTCACCACAGATAAGCCCCCAAATGGTAGACCCAGTGCGATGCCTAACAACTTAGCAGCGTGGTTCAGTGTTTGAGAACCTAGGAGATGTGGGTATACTTCTGTACTATTACCGATTCTGTTACCTTGTGTGACTTAACTTCTTTGAATCTCTTTTTTTCCCCTCATCTGCTTAAAACATAGAAGGATAATGTAGTGCCAGCCTCATTAACACATTGACTACCATGTGAGTTGTATTTAACTCAATGCTGGTTTTGAGCCTGGGGCCTCGTGAAGCATATATAACTCATGTGTCTTCACCTTAGGAGCTGCAAGAACTATTTTTCAAGTTGCATATAACTCACAGAAAATAATAAAAAAACAACAAATTTTTCATTAAATTAGAAGGGATCATTTTGTTTTTGAAGTTTTTGTTCTATTTCCATAATGAAACACCATGGCCCCAAGGAAAAAACATTTTTTTCTAATGTGTCAATAAATGTGTTAAATTCTTGCAAGAAACTGACATAATAACGTATAGACAGCATCTACCATAGTGCTCACGGTGGCCCAGCGCATGCTCAGTCTGTGTTAACATTATCATCACTCTCCCGCCCACCCCTGCTGTGGAATCCTCCTGACTTTCACTGCTCCAAGTTGGTGGCTCAGACCTGATCTTCAACCCTCTTTCTTGCAGGGAGTTTTATGAAGAAGCATGGTCAGCCTGTTGTTTCCAAAACCTTTGGGTAAGTTCTGGGATGTCCAAACCAGAGTAAGGGTTGGATTGGCTTTTTCTGCTGACTTGACCATGATAGGTCTAGCGAGTAAGTCTTCTTGGGCCTCCTGGGTTATAACAACTGAAGGGTGGGAGCCTAGTGGGATGTGGTGTCATTCACACAGCACCTGCTGACCTGGCAGCCTCTGTGGGGAGCCCCTTTGGCCCAGCTGCTATATGCTAGGACATGGGAGACATGGCCAGAGTCCACAGGGGACTCTAACAATCAAGGCAATAGTCAGAATATTTAAATAAGCAGACTTTGGAGAGGCGAGTAACAGAAGTTGTATAACGGACAAGCCCCAAATTGCAGTGGCTCAACACAGGGAAAGTTCATTTCTTACTCAAGGGAAGTTCAATTCAGATATTCGGATATAACAGGTGGAGAGCCTTCCATGTTGTTTTTCAGGAACCCAAGCTGCTTCCATTTTGGAGCTCCATCATCTCCTGGGGCCTTGAGCCTCAGATCGACCTTCTGTATCTCGCCAGCAGAGTAGGCGAGGGAGAGGGTGGAGAATCTCAAAGTGGGTTTCTATGGGTCATCCCAGGAAATGGTATTCAGCACTTCCATTCACTGTCTACTGGCCCAAACCCAGGCTCATGGCCAGAGCTAAGCAGAATTCAGATAAACCTGATTGCAGGGAATTGTAAAGGAAGTCTGGCTGCATGCCCAGGGGGCAGAAGAAATAGGTTTTGGTGCCTCAGATTTTTCCAGAGAGGGCATGAGAAAGTGTTCGAGGCACAGAATTGGGAAGGCTACACTCCAGTGGTTTCTGACCCTAACTTAAGTGACTCAAGTGGGGTAGAGTAAGAAGGATAGAATTGCTGCGTTGTCTGGGGCTGGATTATTTGATGTGTTTTTTTCCCCAGGGACAGATTTTCAACCCCTGCAGTGGAGACCCGCCCTAGCATCTGGGGAGAATGCCCCCCAAAGTTTGCTACCAAGCTGGGCCGAGCGGTGGTCAAAGAAGGACAGACAGGACGATTCTCCTGCAAGATCACCGGCCGGCCCCAGCCACAGGTCACCTGGCTCAAGGTGAGGTTTCTGTCTTCCCACCCTGATCCTGACCCAGGCCTGGGGACTCTGAAGGTTCAGGGTTAGACCCTTCAAATAGTAAGAGCCTGTCTTTCCAATCAGTTCCTTCTGTTTCAACTGCAGGTGATTCTTGAGGGTTCTCTGTGTTTGTTAAAAATGCTTATTTTTGCCCCTATCACACACTCTCCCTGTGTTACTCAGACCACAAAGTTCCTATAATCCTTAAAGTTACAAAATAGCATAAAACTTCTGAGTCAAGATAGACCCAACAATCTTAAGAGAGAGGAACGTGAGTTTATGGTGCCGAGTTTCAAGCCACAACTCCGTGATTCATAAAGCATGTGGCACTGGACAAGTCACTGGATCTCTTAGAACCAGTGGCTCTTGGTTTCCTTATCTGAGAGGTAGAAATGATACCACCTACCCCAAATTATTGCCAGGAGGCTCCCTGTAACAGTGCCTTATAAATCATTCAGAGCTGGACGAAGTGAAGACCAGGGGGAAGAGGTGGTGGCAGGGAGACGGGGGATCGGTGTGGATGTCAAACAGGGCAGTGAGGAACCGCAGGGCACAGGTGGGGTCAGAGCCAGGGAAGGTAGGTTGTCCAGAATTGGAACTCCTAGAGGCAGAGAAAAACAGACAAGAGGAATGAGGGATTTCGTCCCTCAAACTTGGGCTCCCTTGAAACAGCTTCCACACATCTGCGCTGAGATGACAGAACACAACACCACACCACTCCACGTGCACAGGCTGCAAGTCAGGGATTGTCTGAAGACTGCTCTCTGAGCACTCGTGTTGACAGAGCACAGTGCAGAGGGCTCTGCTGCCCAGGCCCTGGGGTCTGTCCCACCGGGATGGGCAAGAGGCAGGAGACAGGAGAACACTGCCAAAATGTCAGCAGATCTCTGTGACCAAGCTACCCTGTTTCCATCCACAGGGAAACATCCCGTTGCAGCCGAGTGGCCGTGTGTCTATGTCTGAGAAGAACGGGGTGCAAGTTCTGGAAATCCATGAAGTCAACCCAGAGGACGTGGGCGTGTACACGTGCCTGGTGGTGAATGGGTCAGGGAAGGCCTCCATGTCAGCTGAGCTTTCTATCCAAGGTATCTGCTGTGGGCGGGCTCGTGCAGCAGGTCCCTCTGCACACCTGCGTGTGCGTGCACGTGGCATGCTGCACACACGCCCATGCGACCCCAGGCACATCTTTGGCAAGAAGAAAGGGGCTGGGGCGGCACAGGCCCAGCCACAGGGGAAGACGCTGTGTGCTGGCCTGCCACCTTCCCCCGCGTTCCCACATCCCCCCCCCCCCCGTGTCTTCAGTCCTCTCCCCACTTGGACTCCTTCATATCTCTCATCGCCAACTGGAAGAGTGGGTGTTGCTAACATCTTGCCATCACCCCAAATTTAACCTGCCTAAAATTTACTCATCATCCACTCTGTCCTTGAAATCAGGTGTTCCCTCTACCTGACTCTGTCTGCCCAAGGTCCCTGTGTTCATTCTCTCCCAGACTGGACAGCTCAGCATCCCCTCGACCCCTCCCTCTTTCCTCCTTGGCCCGTCCACCCTGTCAGCTCCTCCTTGGAAATCTTTCTGAACATGTCTCCTCCTTACAGTCCCTTGGTCCCTTGAAGTCCAGCCTGGGTATACAGAGGGCAGATGGGGAAGAGGCTGGATGTCCCTTCACTGGAGCAGGAGCCTGGAGGGAGGCAAGGCTTGGGGCACCAGGAGGGAAGTGACCTTCACGCCTTCCTCCTCCTTTCCCCTCTTTTCTCTTGAGGATTTTGTCTCTGCATCCCCTTCCTTTCTCAGAAACTATTCCTCCTTGCTCTCATTACTATTTTTGGCCCAGTCTGTGGGTTTTTCACAACCCACAGAAAGAAATTCATTTTACATTCATTATACTGCAGCGCAGAACATGTGTACAGGTATAAACATACTGAACCGGAACAAGTTTCGTGAAACAGTCCTGGTCTGTACCGCACACCGCACATGTGGTGCCCACTGTTCCACTTGACGCTGTGGAAACTGCAGGTGCTGGTCCTGACCAGGGGACTTGACTTGCTCACCCGCCGTTGCATCAGGAGCTTCCCGCGGCGACCAGAGCTGTGATTTAGCTGCTGTCCCTGTGCCTGCCCTGGCACTGGGTTAAAAACTGTTCCCTTCGGATGGACTTAATGACAAAGTATGTTGCCTGGGATGTTAAAAAACTCAAAACAAAAAGAGACAAATAAGACTGGCAAAGTGTTCCTTAATCATGGTGCCGACTTCCAGGGTTTGTTATATTCTTCTCTCTATTGTGTATTTTGAAATTTTTCATAAAAAATTTTGAAAAAGAACATGGCAGGGAAAAAAACATCTTGTATGTTTTTTTCTTTGAAGAACTGAATAAAATTACACTTTCTTTGTACGTTTTTAAAGCACACATTTGTCAAAAGGGAACACGCTATTTTTTTTTTTTTTTTTTAAGGGCTACCGGCAAGTTACAATGTTTGGGTTTGAACTTTTCAGCAGATGTTTATTTTTGTTTGTCCCTGGATTGTTTTTTGTTTCCTTCTATTTAATGAGCAGGAAAAAAGTCTACGTCCTCAGGGTATAGTAACACCAGGCACTGTTTAAGAGCAGAGGAAGGGCAGCATTTGCAGCTTTGACAGCGTAGGCCAGGGCTGGGAGGAATGTTCTCTGGGGCTGGGAGTAGTTTGTCAAACCCACCGAAGATGTTTAGCCCCAGGGAAGCTGGAAGGAGTAGGCAGGGCGGGGCCATGGTGACAGGGAAATGCTTGCGAAGTGAAAACTTGGCGTGTGAAGTATTCCGAGTATTCCACTAACATTCTTTCCACTCTTCCCCGTTTTCAGGTTTGAACAATGCCAGCAGGTATGTCCAGGCTTTGTGATTATTATGCTTTCCATCTTGAAATGCCCACAAGGAAAGAAGGATTGTTACTGAGACATGCCCTTAGTTTTCAAGCCATTGTATAGGGAGTGAGAACTCACTGTTTGGAGGATGTTGGTTTGAGTGTTTTGTTTTGTCCTCCTATCGTAACATACCATACAGGTCTTATGTCGGCTTACTGTCAGCGCTGAGATTCTCAAAAACTCAGTGCCGCCCCCTTTCTCAGTATCTGTGCAGCACCTTCACCAGTGAGCCACCGTGAGGGAGGGCACCCTGCCCAGAGAAGGCCACCTCACGTGTTCCAGGCCAGAATCCAGCCACTCATGGAGCCAGGGTTCCGCCGGAGCCTCCTTTGCGGCGGCCAGTGCTAGATGTGCAGTGTGCCGGGCTGAGCAGACAGCCCAGCGTAGACAAGGGCTTTAAAACAGTGTCAAAAATGCATAGTTGCTAACTATGATGCATCCATGAAGAAGAATAACAGAAAGGCACAGATTTAGAATAGAGGTCAGAGAAGCCCTTTCTAGAAACTCGCTGTCTGGGCGCAGCCCTGTGAAGAGCAATACTAGCTGGGGAAGAAAGGCTCAGGGACAGCGTTCTCGACACAGGGAGAGCGTGGGGAAGCCTCGGGTGAGAGGCGGCGTGTGGGGACTCAGAAGGATGCCTGTGTGGCCGCAGCCTGGTGTCTCAGGGTCAGGAGCAGTGGAGCCAGCATCCTGCAGGCCAGCCTGAGAAGCTCAGTTTACCCTTATATACTGGAAAAGCTATTGGAAAACCCTTGAGCTTGAAGCAACATAATTCGATTTATGTTTCTAAAAGATCGGCTGTGGTTGCCGTGCACAAAGTGGATCAGCAAGGGCAGAGTAGGTGAGGGAAAGCAGCAGGGGTGTGAACTGGGAGGGCACCCATGGAGAAGAGAAGAGGAGGTGGAAGGGGCCCCAGTGGGGTGTGGGCCAGGGAAGCCTCGAGAATGGCTGCTGCGCAGAAAAGAAAGACTTTGGCGCTTTCTTGCTCTGAATTTGTGGGCTTTTGCAATCCCTGGAATCTGTGCTTGTGATGAGTAATGTTTGTGAGTAACCAGATGGTCATTCTATTCCTCCTTCTCCCCTCCCCACCCCCAAACAGGTCGTCTGTGAGAGGAGCAACGGCCGCCAGTTCCGACAGCAGGAGGGAGGTGACCAATGGAATCTCACAGGGGTCGAAACCGGACAGCCTAGAGACCGCAGCTGGAAGTAAGAACTGCTCCAGTCCCCAGAGGCCTGGCTCCCTGGCCTGGGCCACGAACAGCCAGCCTCAGCCCCTGCGGGAGTCCACGCCGGAGCAGTGTGGGAACCCGCCCGGAATGGTCCCTCAGGCCCCCGTCCTCCGCAAGACTTCCAGCACCATCACCCTGCAGGCCCCGAGGGTCCAGCCGGAAGCGAGGGCTCCAGTCTTGAGGGCCCTGTCTCCTTCCGGAGAAGAGAGGAAGAGGCCAGCTGCACCCCATCCAGCCGCCCTCCACTCCAGGCAGTCTGGCCTGGGAAGCCAGGAAGCTGTGGGCAAGGTTGCTACCAAGAGAATCCCCATGGAGAGCCAGAGGGCTTTAACATTTCCCAAATTTGAGAGCAAGCCTCAAAGCCAGGAAGTCAGGGAAGATCAAACAGTCAAGTTCAGATGTGAGGGTGAGTAGAGTTAATTAAGTCACTGGTTCCCAAAGTGTCACCCCTTGGTGGCCTCTCCTTTCCTTAAGCATGCAGCTGCTCACACCCCTATATCCACCCATCCCCTTGAACTAGGGTCCCCAGGAAAGCAGCTTACAGGGGTCTTCTCCTAAGTCTAAAAATGCCCTTTGTTCTGGAGAGACACCCAGCAGTGGCCCAGTGTTCACTGTGGAATAGAGCACTGGCCCTGTGCCCTAATCTTACCACCCTAGAAGGAACAAAACCCACAGCACCACCAGCATCAAAGGCTGTGTCCTCTTCTCTTTCCTCTCCTTTCCTGGCTTTGCCCAAGCTGGAGACCTGGCCCCTCACGCTGTGCTCCTCCTCCCAGGGACCCTGCCCTGTGGAGGGCAGGGCGAGGTGTGAGGAAGCACTCAGGAGGGAGGGTGACCCCACACCAGATGGAGCTCTGACTTCCGGTGCAGGCCCCCCTCCCACCAGCACACTGTGCTCTCGGGGGCTCATGTTCTTCACCTGGCCCTGCAGTTTCAGGGATCCCAAAGCCTGAAGTGGCCTGGTTCCTGGACGGCACCCCCGTGAGGAGACAAACAGGCACCATTGAGGTTTATGAAGATGCCGGATCCCACTACCTCTGCCTGCTGAGAGCCCGGGCCAGGGACAGCGGGAAATACAGCTGCACGGCTTCCAATATCCAAGGCCAGGTGTCCTGTAGCTGGACCCTCCTCGTGGAAAGTGAGTAAATCCCTCCCGGTCACCTTGGATTCTCTGTGGGAAGACCATTCATGGGGTGCTTCATATATTGCAGACAGCTCATCCCCTTCAGCGCCCCATATACGACCCGGTAGACTATCATCCCCACCCACACACCAAGGCCAAATACACTGCAGCAGGCCAGTGGTTCTCACTCAGGAGTTCACAGCAGAATCACCTCCAAACAAACATGCCCAGGCCCCACTCCCAGCCCAGCCGAGAGCTACCTTTTTTTAGATCCCTCAGCTGTTCGAGCAGCCATGACTCATGTTCATAACCACAGAGAACCAAGCGTTCACTAAACATACAGGTTTAGAGTAATGTGAGATGATGTGGGATCCCACAGCTTTTATGTTTATTGTAATATCTGTTTAGAAAAGTAATGCTTGTTCATTGTGGAGAATTTAAACAATATATAATCTTATGACTCAGAAATAAATATTTTAATGTTTTTAAAATAAAATCAGCATGCTGTTTGTATACTGCTTTCTATCCCAATTTTCTCATGCAATATAAACACCTTTCTGTATTATTTAATATTCTTTGAAAGCATAATTTTTAATGACCATAAACTATTGCATTGGGTAGGTGTTATCTAATTGAGGTGTACTCTTATTTTTTCAATATTTAAATTTTTCCATTTTTCACTATTATACCCAAACTGTGATAAATAATATTATGCCTGTCTCTCTTTAAAAGATTTCCCCCTCTAAATGCATATGTGGATCCTAGACCCATGTCATACCCTTGAGAAACCTATTAAATAACACCACAAGGATAGATTTAGCAAATTGCAGGCTGTTGGAAACTTGATGCGACAAATAATCTTCACCCATTTTTTTCAACAAATAAATTGTAAGCAAAAAAAGGAAGGGAGAAGTAACCTATAGGAAGCTTAGACTAAAAGGTACATAAGCAACATCAACAGTTGCAATATATAGCCCTTGGGTGGATCCTGATTGAGGTAATTTAAGAAAAATTGTTAGAAGAACATCAGGAAAGTTTGAACATTGATAAGATATTAAATGTAAAGAAATTTGTGCTATTTTAATATGCGATGGTGGTCTTATGGTTTTTCTTCTTAAGTCCACCTATTTTAGAGATATAAACTGAGTTACTGACTGGTGAAATGTGATTACTGTTATTTGCCTTAGAAATAATTCATGTTTGGAGGGATTGGCAGGGGTACTAATAAAATGATATCAGTATAAATGAAAGTTGAGATAGGTGCACAGGGATTCACTAGACTGCTTTCTTTACTTTTCATATGTTTGAAATTTTCCATAATATACATTTCAAAAAAAAATCATTTAGTAGTTTATCCTTACAATAAAATACCATGCAACATTCTGTAGACTCTCATGAAACATCTCCAAAATACTCCAGTAATGGAAAAGCACAAAATACAGGCTGGATACTATCATAGGGATGATATGTTTTTGTAAAAGCAAGAAAATAACTATGGAATATACATGCACAAAGATGCTTGTGTGTGCATAAAACATTTCTGGAAGGGCACACAAGTTGCCTCTGAGAGGAGAAATTGGGGGTCCTTGGGCAGGAGTAGGGAGGGGGTCTTACCATTCACTGTATACTGTTGATTCCCTTAGCTGGGATTTTTACTACGTTCGTGAATTCCTTTGCAAGGAACATTATCCATTCCACTGGGAGGTGGGAGTGCCCATGGGCAGAGTTCACAGGTCTAGGACCTGGAGCTGCATCATCCGGGTCAGGGCTCTGTGTCTGGGCAGGGGACAGGTACGTGGCATTAGGTCCACCAAAGGTTGCTGGTGTACCCAGAAAGCCCAGTTGCTCCTATGGCATCCTCTTCTGTGAATTTACATAAGTCTCCTGGAAGACTATTTTTAGCCTCTTTGCATCTTAGGGCAGTCCATCTCAGGTTAACTCCTTGTCTTACTTTGTTTTGTGTGACAGCTTCATTGAGATATAATTCCGCATAACATAAAAGCCACCTTTTTGATGTGTACAATTCAGTGATTTTTAATATATTCAGAGAGTTGTGCGGCCATCACCACTATCAAATTTTAGAACATTTTCATCACCACAAAAAGATCTACCCATTAGTAGTCACTCCCCATTCTCCCAGCCCCTGATAACCACTAATCCTCTTTCTGTCTCCATGGATTTTCCTTTTCTGAACATTTCATATAAATGGAATCACACAATGTATGGTCCCCTGTGTCTTCTTTCTCTTAGCATAATATTGTCAAGGTTCATCTATGTTGTGGCAGGTATCAGTACTTCATTCATCTTTATGACTGAATACTACTCCATTGTGTGGATATAGCATATTTCGTTTATCCATTCATAAGCTGATAGATATTTGGTTGTGTTCTGCTTTTATTAATAGCTATTGTGAGGGTCGCTGTGAACACTTGTGTACTTTTTTTTTTTAATACCTGTTTTCAATTTTAAGGGTTTATACCTATGAGTGGGATTGTTGGGTCATATGGTAATTCTGTGTTTAACCTTTGAGGAACTGACAAACTCTTCTAGTGGCTGCGCCATCTTACATTCCACCAGCCACATACAAGTGTCCCAGTTTCTCCGCATCCCCACCGACACTCGTTATTTTCAATTTCTTAATTATAGCAGTCCCCAGTCATCTCATTTTGAGTTTGATTTGCATTTCCCTGATGACTAATGATGTTGAGCATCATTTTATATGCTTATTGGCCATTTGTATAACTTCTTTGAAGAAATACCTATTCAAATACTTTGCCTATCTTCAATTGGGTCATTTGCTTTTTTTTAACTGCTGAGCTATGAGACTTCTTTATATATTCTGTATACAAGTCCTTTATCAGACGTATGATTTACAATAATTTTGCTCCATTCCATGAAGTCTGGACAATTTGTCATGTGTAGCCACTGAAGTCCCTGCTTAGTTAGCTTAATGATCAGCTAATTGATTGGACAGAGATTTCCTTAAATGCTTTGAACCAGTACTTCTCCCAGCCTTTGCTGAGGGGCTGTGTGTGTTGGGGCATGTCTTCAATGCTCCGACCGGCAGCTTACAGCTCTGCCTTAGCCTTTACTTCCTGCTTGTGCTGAGCCTCCAGGTCAGCCAGAGGTGAGCGAGGAGGGCCTGCTCAGGTCTTCCCCGGGCATGTCCACAGCCCTGCACGTGCATGTGGCCTTCTAGGTTCTCAGGAATACGTCAGAGCTTTTCCAAGCCCCAGACATCTCATTCCCCAGTTTTTCCTTTTAAGTTTTTTGTCAGGCTCTTGTTAGACCACCTGATTTTGCTGCCTTGAGTAGCTGTGATGTTAAGCAATTACCACTGATTGTTTTTTACACACACCCTAGGGATAGGGTTGTTCACATAGAGCAAGCTGAGTTAAGTCACATAAAAGACAAGCCTGAAAATGGAGCTATGGAAGGAGCTGCCAGACAGGTCAAATAGTGACAGTTGTCTTCAGGATGGGGTTGTTCAGGAGCTCTGAATCCCCTCTGCCCACTGCTAGGCAGCTGGTCTTCACAGGTGCCATAGTTACTGTTGGTTCTCAAACCCACCCCAGAGCTGGGCAAGGAGGATGGGAGCAAATGCCACAAAGCTTGCTGTTTTTACCAAGACTCAGCTGGATTTCTTTTATTTTTTTTTTTGGTTGGGAGAGGTTGTTGTTTGTTTTAAAATGAATACTCCTCAGATGTTGCAACCTTTGGTTACTTTACAGATTTCTGAAAAAGTTGACTCTTTTTGAGTTCACAGCGACCCAGTATTTTGGTGGGGGGGAGGAGGAGATTTTCAGAGGCCTTTACTCTGCCATTATCGGAAGTGCTGTTCGACTCCCTATCTTCTGGAAGATACCAGTTGTTCTAAAACTTCTCTAGCCTTCAAAAGTCCCAGCTCATCCTTGGCAGAGGACTTTACCAAGAAGCAGATTACCTGATGTGTGCTCTTTTAGCTCTTCCTACAGCCCGTCTGTCTCTCTCTCATATACTGCCACTGCAGAAGAGCTGTCTGTTTCCCTTCCCAGGACTTCTCTCTCTGTCCCCTCCCGTCTCCACAAAGATCTGATCTAATAATGATTTGCTCTCCCACCATTTCTTCAAGCTCTTATCAAGAGGCCTCTTTTACTCTCCCTACAAGCTATGCTGAATGAAAAATAAAATCTTCCTTCCACCTGGTGGTCTCTCAAGCTCATCCCTCCACTCTTTCATCCCCAGACTGTACTTGCTGCACATGTAGTCTCTGTGCACAGCTTCCATTTGATAATAACAGCTAACACCTGTAGAGAATGTTCTACGTGCCAGACTTTGTGCTGAATGCTCTACTTGCATTATTTCATTTAGTAATCCCAACAATCTTATGAGAAAATTATATTTACACCCAGTTTTCAGATGAGAATACTGAGCTGTAGTAAGGTTAAGTAGACTCATCCAAGTTCATATGTCTTATGAAAGAGAACTTATTTCTAAGCCAAGTCTGCTGGCATAAAAACCCATGTTCTTCTCAATGACTCCCAAGGGCATTTCTCTAATGAGGGAATTTGATGCTGGCCGGGAAAGGGGGTGGAGATGGTGCCTCCCTACACCTCTCGGGGTGGTCCGTCCACCCCTCCCTCAGAGCCAAGCCCGCCCTGATGCGCATGATTCTGTCTTGTAGCTCCACTGCCACCACCTGCCCTCCCCTGGGCCTAGAGGAGAAAATGTGGCTGTAGAGGGAGAGAGAGGGATGGAAGATCTGGCTTCACCATTAGGCTCAGCTCTGTATTAACCTCATCTGTAAAATTAGCTCAAAATAACAACTTTATGGCATTGTCACAAACACATCTAGAAAAGTACCTGGCACACAGTAGGCCCTCAAATATTACTAGGTTTTCTTATCCATGAATGCCTGCAAATAATACGCCTTTCCCCTCATGTCTGTACTGAATAGGCTGTCTTGTGATATAACTTCTAATCACCAGATCCAGTTGCCTTTTCTCATCTATAGCCACTTTGACACTTCTGCAGCATGTTCTGCTTGTTGTAGAAGAGATTACCCCTATTGCTCTTAATTAAGGCCCCCAAACTATAAAATGTTCCCCAATTCCCTGATGTAGAAAGGTTTTGGAAAGTTCAGCTCAGTGGCTCTCAACTAGAATGTGCATTAGATTCACGAGAGGGCCTTGTTAATGCATATTCCCAGGCGCCCAGCAGTTCCGAACTCTCTACCTAGGTTAGGCCTAAAACTCTACTTAGAAAACAGGAACACACGTGAGTCCTTTGTCATTTGATTCAGATCTGAAATTAGAAAAATAATTATAATAATTTAAAATCGAAACATCCTCACCTGTGGGCCTGTTGCTTCTACAAGTAAAATGATACTCACAAGACTGTGTAATCACTGATGGGACATGTTAAAGAAGAGAAGGGACACTAAAGAGTAGAGCAGGACCACGAAGGCAGGAGCCCTCGGGATGCTCCAGGAGGTGTGTGAGTCACAGAGGAGAGAAGCCAGGCCCAGGTACAGAGCACTCCAGGGCCTGGGCTGCTTTGTGACTATGAAAAAGCTTGTGCCAGTTGCCCTGCTTGGGGCTCCAGGTCTCCATGCCACCAGGCTGCCTGCTTCCCACGTGTAAAGAGAGAGAAGGCAAAGCCAGGCTGCTGGGGAAGCCCTGGCGCCCAGGACAGTCAGGTGTCTGCCTGTGAGGCCAGGGGTGACTGCGGCCAGTCGCCAGAGCAGGCAAGCTGTGATCTGAGATGGCCTGTCTGTCCTTTTCCCTCACAGGGCTGGCCGTGATGGAGGTGGCCCCCTCGTTCTCCAGTGTCCTGAAGGACTGTACCGTCATCGAGGGCCAGGATTTTGTGCTGCGGTGCTCCGTGCAGGGCACCCCAGTGCCCCGAATCACTTGGCTGCTCAACGGTGAGTCGCCCTCGCCCCAGCCCTCTGCTCCAGTCCCCTACACAAGTTCCCACTCCTCTGTGAGCCTGGAGTTCTTCATCTGCATCATGGGAATAATACCACCCACCTTGCAGGGTGGCAGTTGTGAAATTAAATTCGATCTTTTATATAAAGTGGTTCATGAGGTCCCTGACAGATAAGTGCACAAGCAATTTAATTTCTTTTCATATGGTCAGACTCATAATAGGCCCTCAATTAATATTTGTTGGGACAACGAATGAACAAATAAATTAACGAACTAATGAACCACACCAAAGTTGCTTGAGGGGTCTCACTTTTGATTGAGTGGCAGGTGGTTCTAGGGTTCATAGACCAGTAATTCTTTTTAATGTTATACACCTATAAAGACATGCCAACTCTTTTTTTTTTTTTTTTTTGGTCAAGTAAGATTCTTTTAAAAAATTAATTACCATTATTTTCACACCCTCTCCCATATTTTTAAAGACAAGTCATGTGAAGCAGTGGGAGAAGGAACAAAGGAATCTGTAACTGGTTGTGATCAATTAGTAGTAAACACCTTCTCTTTTTAAAAAGTGCTTTAAATTGTGCACGTGCAGGGCAGCTCTGATTTTCCGACTGAAAACAGTCCATTAAGTTGGTGAGATTGAGCAGGGATGACCTTGAGGATACACAGGGAGGGTGAAAGAGTTTGTGCTGAAAGTCAGGAGACACGGGCTCGAGTCCTTCTGCACTGGAGCTGTCAGATGACCTTGGACACTTCACCTGTCTAGGTGCTGTTGTCTTTATCAGTGAGGAGATGGGCCGGAACAGAAGGTTCGGGGCCTCAGCCAGCTCCCACGTCTGATAGAACAGGCTCCTTTAGAGGGCAGTGACACCCATCACTCATGCACCAACTGGTCCCCAGTGGTGCCTGCGTCGCTGGTGGACCACCTGTGAACTCCCTTGTTGGTGTAGTTTGCTCAGACTTTGCCAGAACCTATCGGGAATGAGTGAGAGAAGAGTGAGACTCTGCCTACGTGGAGTCTCCTTGGGTGGCTAAGTGCAAATGGAGGTCCGCCTCCCTCCATTCCTCACCTGAAGACAGAACTCCTGGATCCTGCGACTGACTGCAAGAAGGCAGCTTTTGCGGCTGGAACAGAATATGGGCATGAGGAGTAAGAGTGCATCTAAGAGAGAGAGTTTCACTTCTGTCCTGTCCAGCTCAAGTGTCAACAGACATTTTCTAAAACAGCCAGGTAGTAAATATTTTCAGCTTTTCGGGCTGCACAGTCTCTAACTACTACTCAGCTCCACTGTTGCAGTATTTATACTGCAGCCACAAGCAATATGTAAATGAATGAGTGTGGCTGTCTTGCAATAAAACTTTATTTATGGACACTGAAATGTGAATTTCACATTATTTTTACATGTTATGAAATATTGTTTTTTTTTTCCACCAACCACTTAAAATATGTTAAAACTATTCTTAGCTCGCAGGCTGTACAGAGACAGGTTGCAGGTTGGATTTGCCCACAAGCCGTAGTTTGCTGACCTGCGGTTTTCGCCTCTCAGGGCTGTGCATTCTTGGTGACTCTTGAAGTTTCCTCATCCTTCCACTAGAGGGCGATTGTGCTCAAGTTGGCTTTCCTTGGCTGCCAACTCTGGTCCACCCAGTCTCCCTCCGAGCTGGGAGAGCTCAATGTCTCCCACTTCTGATGTGCCCTGAGCCAACGGCCCTTGCCGGGGCCTCCATCCTATCCCATGTTTGTGGGACCAAAATGAGTTATGCTCCAGTAAAAGGAGAGCTCTCAAAAAGCTTGTCAGCACACGTTTGGACAGCAGAGGTGCATTGGCAGCAATCAGAGAATATAATGGTTTTCTCAAGGAAGAGAGGTTTTACAGGTGTCATTGTTACAAAAAATAAAAACAAAGAGCGGTGTGTAATCCTGTCAGTGGAAGGATCCTGGTCCCTGCCGTTCCGGCTCTCAGCCCCGCTTTTATGAAGTGCAGTAAGCTGGGAGGACTCTCGGCCCGTGGCATGCTTGGCGGTCTCTTTGCCAAGCTGTCATGGAGACATGAAGTGCTATGTGCAGAAGAAAACATTGCAGGGAGAGGACTTCCTTCTGTGCTTTCTCCTTCCCCCACTGCCCACCCCCGATTTTATGAAGTGCAAACCAGGACCCTGGGGCCTGGCGAGGGAACAGACTGACAGTCGCTTCCTATGTGGCGAATGGACACATTCCTGCTCTAAGGCCAGAATCTTCGGTAATGAGATTGTCTTCCCCCTGGAAATGGAAGGTCACATCCTGGAATGATAAAATCCCAGGAACATACAGCATTAAGGCAACCACTGAAGCTCACTGCGTGCACTCCTGTCTCCATGTAGCACTTGATGTGACCTGAACAAAGGGCTTCTCAGGGAAGGGACTCTGGGGAGAAGGGGCCAGAGTCATTTGTAGTTCCCACGTTTATCTTTCCTGTGAGCCCTAAAATACACCTGATTGCATAGGAGAAATGCACCTAACTACAACATTGGGTAGTGGATACAGAACTGCTTGATAAATAAGTACAGTGGGAACTGGAATCAGTGTTTCTAGAGACATCTGAAAGGCGCTGGGAGCCTCGTGTTCAGTCTGGGCAGGGTCTGTTCTGCCTGAGGCTGGCCTAGGGGCCAGATGACCCTGGAAGCTTCTTTCCAGGCTCAGAATTCTGTGCAGTTGAAGATGTGGATTTGGAGACTGTTTAACACAGAATGCCCCAAACTGTGTCCCTGTCCCCCCATGTTCCAAATTCCTCCCCCATCCTAGGCCCCATCTTGCTCCTCCACCCCACACAATTGCTCCCATCCTTCATCTCCTTTCCAACCCACGGGCCTCTGTCCAGCTGGCTGGGGATGGGCTGACCTGTCGGTAGCCCCCAGTGGATCTGAGCAAGCATGACAAGCCCAGGCGCCACGACAGCAGCAGCCCTGCCGAGGAAGGGCTCCCGAGCCACCGCCGGGTGCCCCTGGCCTGAGCCCCCCTGTGCTTCCTCCGCAGGGCAGCCCATCCAGTACGCTCGCTCCACCTGCGAGGCCGGCGTGGCTGAGCTCCACATCCAGGACGCCCTGCCGGAGGATGATGGCACCTACACCTGTCTGGCTGAGAATGCCCTGGGACAGGTGTCCTGCAGTGCCCGGGTCACCGTGCATGGTAGGAGCCTCTGGTCACCTTGCTAGCAGCACCTTTCCTGCAGACACAGCTGCTCTGGAGGAAGGGCGCTTTTGTAGAAATAGTAACACTGGCTGAAATCCAGGGACCCGAAGTGCAAGTGACATTACCCCACACCGTTACCAGCAGGCAGTTGCTGTAACAGAGGAGAGGCTGCTAAAACCTCCTAGGGACAGAGGGGAGGGCCCTTAAAAAGCACCTGAAGGCCGGCAGGTGGAAGAGGTGGCCTCTAGAAGTTCACAATGACAAGTGTCTGCCATGAGAGTGGCGAGTTCCCCCCCATCTCCCCCTGCCCAGGGCTGTGGGAAGATGCAGGGGAAAGAGGCAAGGGCTCCCCTGGCTCCAGGACCTCCTGCTCTGATAGGAAGAAAACCTCACGTGCTGCAAGAAGACTTAGGAGGAGTATTCGCATATTCCCTTAGTAGCTAGGGCCTCGCAAATGACCCCTTATCTTCTGGGGGACACTGGGTAACAGTGTGAGTATTGAGGCTTCCAGAGGGTCACGGGTGGTCCCCTCTCCCTTCTGCCCCTCCTTCTCCCCACCACCCCAAGCTTGTTTTTACACATCACCAGCCTGGTGTCCAGTAATCTGATTATCATGGTCATGCATTGATCAGCCAAGCACTTAGTCCCCGGGAGCCACAGACTCAAGACAGATCTGTCTGGGCTGTGGCATCAGCGGGCATGATGACAATTCCCGGAGAGGTCCTTCTTGGGTGCGGGGTTTTCAGGTAAGCCTCATTCCCATCCTTGCCCAGGCTGTGCGTGACTGGGTCCTCTGGGTGCTGGGACCGGGTGGAACATGTCTGCTTTCCCCATGAGACTAGCAGGACACCACACCTTCTTTCTCTGTGTCCCCAGTCCTCAGGCCTCTCGGGAGAGTCTCCTTGTACTCTGCAGAGCCACCTTCTGGGAGGTTGTAGGGGATGGATTCACTGAAAAGGAAAAGGGAAAAAACATTTGCTGCTCATTGTGTTAGATACTCTCCCCTCACCTCATTGAGACCTCAACAGCCCGGGGATGGGGTTGCTGTCCCCCTTTACACAGAAGGGTCTGGAAGTTAATGTACCTTGCGTAAGCACACCAGGCTAGTCAGCAAAGCTGGCCTTTTAAACCTAGGGACTGTGACTTTCGAGTCCATGTTCATTCCTACATCCTGCCCTTTCTCAGAGTGCTTGTCCCCTGGCCCAAGTGGGGGGCTGGCCACTGGGAGCTGGGCAGTGTCCGTCCCTCGGGGATAAAGGGCTGGCACTGATGGAGGGTGCGGCTGATGCCGGCCCCATGCAGCCCTCTGGCAGGAGCGAGCACGCTCCCAGGGCATGGCGCGGTGAACTGGTCTACCCCCGCCTTCCAGGAGCCCTCCAGCGGGGTCAGAGCCCGGCTCTGGCCCCTGGGCATTTGCCAGCCGGGTTTCTGGTTTACACATTTACCCCATTTACCCTCATAGTTCTGGCTTCATGGCTCACTGGGGGAGGGGAAGGAGTCAAGAAATCGTAATAATCAGACTTAAGAGGAAACAGGAGCTGCTCAGAGCCTCATCCTAGGGCCAGGGGACAAGTCTCCTGTTCCCACGAGGGGGCTCTTCTTAGGGGTCAGTGTGGCCTGCCCCAAAGTCTAGCAAGGGGCAGAGAGAGTGAGAATGGCACACAATGGGTTGCATATCCCAGCCTTCCATCCTCTGAGACTCTCCCTCCACGGCCCCAGCCAAGAGCCCAGCTAATCCAGTGTCTGTCCCGGGCTGCCTGTGTTTAGATTGGATTAGAGTGACCCGGCCGAGCTAATAGTCTCCCAGAGGCGGGGGTCCCTGATGAAGGACCAAGAGCTCTTTGGGGCCGCCCTCCTCACTCCCAGGCCTGTGGGGGTGGGGGGTGGGGCCATCCAAGTGGGTTTTGAAGCCGACACAGAGAGGTCCCAGGCAAAACCTCTGCCGGGCGGTTTGGATCTGCTGTGAGAACAGGCCTGGGCAGGAGTGAGAGCCCCTCCCGGCGTGGGGCTTTGCTGGCTCAGATACCATAAATGGTGAACGGGCCGAAAGACGCAGCCACGCGCTTGGGCCCGGCAGCAGTGGGGTTGGCAGCAGTGGGGTTGTCTCGGGGCAGGACTAGAGCAGGGCGAGCCTGGCACGGCGACACCCCTGGCACCGCGCCCCAAGGCACTCAGGAGGCGCAAGCCCTCGTCCTGCGCCATCCTCAGCTGTGGAGTTTTTCTTACTTTATTGGCAGCTCCTTTGGCTCTGGGTCGTCTGGGGGCAGCTCGGGGTTGGGGAGATGATTGCAGCGGAGGGAGCCACTTGTTCCGGTCTGCACTGACCGCCGTTCCAGGCCCTCCCTCAGCCGCCCGCAAGCCTCGCCGCTGCTACCCTCAGTGCGCGCCGCGCCGCGCAGGGCGCAGGGGCGTGGGCAACTGCCTGGGTGTGAGTCCTGCTCCGCCACCCACGAGCCCCGCAACCTGAGTTGTCGCCTTCCTCTTGTGTGAAATGGGAGAGAGCACTGTAGTCGCCTCACAGCGCTGTGAGGATTGAGTGAATACAGGCCACGGCCCCAGAACATGGGAGGTGCTCAGTAAGGGTGTGCTGTTATTATTAGGATCGTCCGGCAGAACCTACCTTTAAACGCGACGAAATGGTTTATAACGCCGGGCCCAAGGAGTGTTTTCTCCAGGGGATCAGCTTTGTCTGTCTGGCAAGGGTAAGGGAGAACCTGAGAATCCCAGAAGGGAGGTGTCGGGCCAGCTACCTGCCGCCGTAGACTCGCGCACCTGTTCCAGGGCTCCGGCCACGAGATGGCGCCATTCAGCAGCGCATCTCCCTTCCCGTGTCTTTTCGAGGGTCCTTCCCGTTTTTGCCAAGGTTTTGTAGTCATTGAGAGGGCTGGCCCAGCACTCTAACTCAATTTCTGTGGCCACTCTAACGTGCCTTCTCCACCTCCCCTCCTCTGTGACCCTCTTCCCCCAAAAGCCTGGCTAATGCCCACAGATCTCACCTTCTCTGGGAGGCCCACCCTAGTCACCCCAGAATGAGTTCTCTTAACACCCCATTCCTTCCCGTAGTGCACGTATTTATCAATCAATCTTACTGAACCCCTGTATTTATTTGTGCCAGGCATCGTTCTGGGGAAACTGCAGAAACAGGACAGTCAAGGGTCCCATCTTCATGGAGTCTCCATTCTGATGGGGATGTGGGCAAGAATCAACACCTGGTTACCTGGTTCAGTTTCAAATGCTGACAAGTGCTATTAAGAAATTAAGCAGGGGCCAGGTGTGGTGGCTCATGCCTGTAATCCCAACACTTTGGGAGGCTGAGGAGGGAGAATTGCTTGAGGACAGGCGTTCAAGACCAGCCTGGGCAATGTAGTAAGACCCTGTCTCTAGAAAAAAAAATTTTTTTAATTAGCTGGGTATGGTGACATGTACCTGTAGTCCCAGCTACTTGGGAGGCTGAGGCAGGAGGATCACTTGAGCCCAGGAGTTCGAGGCTGCAGTGAGCTATAATTGCACCACAGCACTCCAGCCTGGGGGAAGGAAGAGAGGGAGGGAGGGAGGGAATAGAGAATGGTGGACTTTTTAACTATTGTAACAAAGAAAGCCTCAGAGACTCCAATGAACTGGGGAAAGAGTGGTCCAGGCAGGCAGCACAGCAAGTGCAAAGGGCCTGTGTTGGGAATGCGGTTGGCCTATGCTAGGAACAGCAAGACAGCCACTGTGGCTGGCACAAAGTAAACAGGTGGCAGAGTAACAGAAAGTGAGTTCAGAGAGAGGGTACATCAGGCAGGGCCTCTTAGGGCAGGGAGAAAGCATTTTATTCTGTGAAAATTTGCTCTGATTTTATTCTTATTGCTTAATTGTCTTCTCCAGACTGTAAGCTCCCTGCAGGGAGGGACCATGTCTTCCTACTGTGTGTAGAACAGGGCCTGCCATGGGAGTATGTGTTCAGTGAGTGAGTGAGAGAGCAATCTGAGATAGTGGGACTCCCGTACCCAGTGCAGGGAGGCATTCCCTCATCTTCCTCACTTGTCTGGGGCCAAAATCCACAAATTACCTTTCAAGAGTCCCTCAACAAATATTCCTTCTGTCCTCCTCACAAGCTAGGGGGAAAAATCCTCAGTAGTTAACCAGGCAATGACAGTCTTCCCTCTTGACTGAGGATGGAGCCTAAAGAATGATTAATTCAATTCCTGCAAAGCCTGGGAAGATCTGAGATAGAGTGAATAGTTCCTATCTGGACTGGCAGTGGCGGGGCGACTCCTTTGTGCTAGAGCACTTTGAATTTATGTCCTTCCAGAGTATCTTTGTAAAGGCTAAAACTCTCAAGTGCCTAGATTTATGTATAACCTGCTAATCGTGCCCCATTTTGATGCAGTTTCTCAGCCTAACGGTTTGTTTATTAAACTGAAGGCCTGCCGGGCCTATTAGAGACACATAAGGACATAGAATGTGTAAGTTAAAAAGGAAAAAGCTGATCTCTAGAGTGAAAAATAGAACTTAACAAGCATATTAGAGTATTTGCTTTGATGCAGAGCCCCTAAAGAAGGCAACAGGCACCAGTGCAGCCGGGCACTTGCTTGGCAATGGAAGCATCAGTGGAGGCAGTGTTTGCTTCCCGATTAGTACCAGGTGCTCTGGGGGCAATTCTGAGCCCCCTCCTCCTCTCTACCCAAGTTATACACAGGGACTGTGGACACTACACTATCAATCCATATGGCATAAGGTATGACCCTGCCCTCCATGAGTTTAGAAACACTGACAACTTTTTAAATACTTATGTTGACTTAAGAGAAATTTATTGAAGGAAAATAAATATTGGTTTTAACTTGTGTTTTTTTAATATACATTAAGAACCTTAGTCCACCCAAAACATCTGTCCACAAGTTGTAAACTAAGAAGGCAAGCAATTGACTAAATGTTAAATCAATTTATAGCCAGTATTTTAGTTCCATGTAGGTTGCGTGAGGAATTAGATTTGTATATACCTTGTGGGTTCTTCA